AGTTTCATAATTTGACATGTCTTGATGAAAAATGACCCTTGGCACTTTATTTTGACCAAAAAGTCAAAGTTTGACTTTTCAGTGTACAGTCAAATTTTGATCAGTTGATTGAAAAATTCATCTGTCAATCCCATGTACTTGAGATCTTTTGGAACTTGTTGAATGGGTCAAGAAAATTTCATTGAGTCCTTGAGTCCATATGTAGCTTGGTTTGCCATTGTTTAGGTCAAACAGTCAAAAATTGCCTTTGTGCAGTCAAAACCCTAAAAATGACCATTTTGCCCTTTTGGTGATCTGATCAAATTTCTTGTGGAATTGTGATCCAAACTTGATCAAATGGTTCATATGAGTTCATAATGTTAATGTGGGTCAAATTTCATGATGTTTGACTGTCAATTGGCCACAGTTGACTTTTTTCCCAATATAGTTGATTTCTAGGTCAACTGTCCAATTGACTGGGCAAAAATTTGAATCAAGGCTTGAAACTTGGTATGGGCAAACTTGTGAACCCAACATGAGGCATGAAAGTAAATTTGGGTATTGCAGGTCAAAATATCCCTGTGCAAACTCAAACCCTAGTTTGGGTCAACAATGCAAGGAGCGATCTTGAGCAGAGCAAACCCTAGCTTGATCCTGAATTCCAAGAGTCTTGTGATGAGAAAGTATTGATGAAATGAGAGGGCAAATTTTGGGGTACAACAGTAGGTATGCTTGAAGACCACATTCAATCTTTGGTATCTTGATAGTGGTTGTTCAAAGCATATGACGACAGACTTACACTAACTTTCAAATCTAGTTCAAGTCCAAGGATTATTTCACATATGGAAAATACATTAAAGGAAGAATTATTGGTATTGGAAAAGTTGATACACTAACTTTTATATCCATTGAATATGTACTTTATGTTGAAGAACAAAATGCACCTTCTAATTAAACGACAACTTTGTTGAAAAGGCTTAAAATTCATCAAGGATGAATGGTTTATGAAGTCTCTCTTGAGGTGAAAACTCATTGGTATAAATTGTTTTTACTTTCAATAATCTCTTTATATATTATAAGGCTTTTCTCATACTTTTTTTAATGACAAAGGGGGAGAAGATATATATATATATATATATATATATATATATATATATATATATATATATATATATATATATATATATATATATATATATATATATATATATATATATATATATATATATATATATATATATATATATATATATATATATATATATATATATATATATATATATATATATATATATATATATATATATATATATATATATATATATATATATATATATATATATATATATATATATATATATGTATGTATGTGTATGCTTGTCTCTAACTATTGCAGCCCAAAGAAATATGAAAATTCTCTACGATTCAAGGGAGAACTTTTATCAAGAGGGAGTTATCAAAGATAGGGGGAGCATTCACATAAGAGTTTCTCATTCTATCTAAAAGAGTCAAGCATCTTCCATATTATGTTTTGATGAAGATAACTACTATGTGCATTTATCAAAGGATGAGAAAAAGCATCATGAAGCAATATGGCTATGGTTAAGCTTTCAATATTACTATATATTTTTGTCCATTTTTTATGCATCTTTCCCTTATTTTTGATAATGTCAAAGGGGGAGAAGGATGTTATACTTTATGTTTGTGTATTTACTTGTCTTAATATTTTAAGGTACAAAGAATCCTTCAAGATGAGCAAATCCAAATGATTTCAAACCTTCTCATACAAAGGGGGAGTTATGCATCTTAGGGGAGAAGCTCTTTTCGGAAATTACAACGCATCAAGCAAGATCGTTTGTCATCATCAAAAAGGGGGAGAATGTAAAATCAAGCTTCTCAAATGCACTTTATTTTGATAAATACAAACCATGAGGTACAAAGAAGGCAAAGATTATTGATCAAGTTAAAAGCATCTATGGATAAAGTCTTCAGTTCAAGCACTTAGCAAAATTTCAAGGTATAATGATAATACTTACTTTGAACTTAAGACATAGATGCTCAATGGTAAAAAGAAATATTTTATATTATCCAAACCTTTACTCAAGTTTTTCTAAGCTAAAAATCATTTTTCACTTGAGTGCAATCGATTTGCATATTAGTGCAATTGATTGCATGCTTCAATTTTTTCAAATCTTTTGCTAATGTTTCTCAGTGCAATCGATTTACATGGTTGTGTAATCGATTGCACTCAATCAATTTTTGCTACTGACTTCATATGCAATCGATTTATACTCTTGTGCAAATCGATTGGACACTCAAAACTTTTGAAATTCTAGCTGTTGAAATCCCGTGCAATCGATTTACACAAAGGGTGAAATCGATTGCATGCTGCACGATTTTGAAAAACAACAGTTTTGCACATGCCTGTTCATAACACCATTTCATGGAAACCTTTCACTCAATCTTGGCAATTGTTCATGATTCATTTATAGAATTTTATGTTGTTTCAAAAAGGTGCTATGAATATATAAATACTAATTTTCAAAATCATTTTCAACATCTCTTCCAATTATATTTTCTGAATTTTCAAATATCAAACTCAAGCTTTTCTTCACTTTCATACACAGTTTTTCTACACACTTTCACATATTGTCAAACAGAAAACTTTGAGCATTATATATCTTGAGTCCTTGTATACTATTGTTATTCGAAGAGAAGATCAATTCATTGATAAAATCATTCATAGTGATTATTACGCTACAAACTCACTCAAATCAAATATTGCTATATACTTGCTTATTTTTCAGGATTGTTGAAAATAAGTTCAAGTGATTTTGAAATCTTGTTTTTCCAGGATTGTTGGATACAAGTAAGGTCACCTTGAGAGGATTGTTCTCATTGTTGACATAGTGAAAATTCAAGAGGATTATTCTTGGTGCAAGAGGATTGTTCTTGGTAGTTTTATTGGTTAGAGTCTTGTATAGAAGGACTGAGGTGTCTTGTCTAGAGATCTAACAATAAGGAAAACTCTTTCATGTTGAAAGGGGACTGTAGTACTCTCGGACTGTGAGGGGAACCAGGATACATCTTTGTGTTCTTTACTTTTCCGCATTTACCGCTTTCATCACTAGTCATAAACCAGAAAAGAAAGAAACACAATTGTAAACTCATGCACTAAACTAGACAAATAATATCCATCATCACTAAAACGGTAAAACTTTTAAAGTACCTAATTCACCCCCTTCTTAGGCGCACTCTTATACTTACACGATTGTAATTTATTTTGAGTTAAAATTTTAATTTTTATTCTAAAACATTATGTACAACCCGATTTCAAGGATCTAAGTGTTTCTCTAATCAACTCTAGTCATATCAAATAAATCTATAGTGTCATTGACATGTACTCACGTTATCAACTATTCTATATTGAGTGAAAATCATATCATTTGTTTCCTTCCATATAGTATATATGATTTTAGTTGCAATAATCTTTAATATTTTTCTTCTCTAGCCTTTCTTAAAATCATCTTAGATTTTACACGATTTCACCGATTTTAGAGCGATTAAAATGTTTAAAACCATTCCATGATACAATTTTACATAACAATATTTTTACTTGCGATTTAACACGAAATATTGACCTAGAAATGCAAAATCTATAGAGTTTAGATTTTAAATCACAATTTTAATAACCTTGGTGTCATCACTAGTGGATTTAGTGAGAACATGTGTGAGATTGAGAGATGTGTCTCAGCTAATGTGTCTTTCTTGTATTTCTGAAGATGTGGGTCATGTGCAAGGAGCAAAACTTGAACCTCATCAAAATAAAGACTATGAAACTTATGTTCAATTGAATTAATGGATGATGCATAATCTAAAATAAATTCTTATAAAATCACATCAATATGATGACTTACTAGAATTTGATCTCCAATTAATGCCAAGACATCCATAGTTTTGTGAATTTGAAGGAGTCAAACTTTTACCTTCACACTTTTAATCTTGTTTGCAGAGAGTTCAACACGAAGATAATATGCTTTCACACATGTCTATTTCTTAAAATAGGTAAACAAAATTGTCCCACAAATCATGCGTGAGAGACTAATCAAGAACATGCAACAATATTTTGCTCGATAAAGTGGATTGTAACTATAATTGGAGCATCTAACCGCGAGATCTCCATAAGAGATACACAAGATTTATCAATTTGTTATTTTGATCTCATCATTCAAGTATTTCATCGGAGTTCTCAGCTATATAACAAGTTCAATAAAATTTACACATTAATATATGAATGTATTTGTTGGCGTCATTTTATCTTCCGTGAGTTTCTGTAAGATCTTTTGAGAGAATTAAAATAAAGAATTGAAATAAAAAACAAACTGAAAATTCCACTGATAGAGAATCACCATGGATGAAACTAGTTTGCTGATAAAATGATAAAGTAGATTTAATTTACAATTATGTTACATAGTTTTACATGAAAATCATTTACACTAATGCACTTGCACTTACTTATATTGCTTAATTTGGTATTAGCTAATTTATAATATTATCTCTTATAATATTTAATGAGATGAAGTGTAAAATCATTTTTGGTGTGTAAATGTAGGAAACAACTAGACACAACCAATAAATGAAAACTTCACCAAAACAAAAAACAAAAAATAAATTTGAATTTGAATTGCCCGAGTCGAATACAGCGTACACCGTGTCATTTACGTAAATAACCAATGAACCCAATGGCACTTTAATCCCATTCACCTTTTCTTCCCTTTCACGCTTGCTTCGCATCTAAGCCAGCACAAAACACATTCACACACACTTCATTTCATTCATTTCCTCTCTCTCTTTTCCCAAACGCGTTCTGTTACTACAAACAGAAAAACGAACCCTCACTCTTTCTCTCTCTAAAACCGTATCATTCATCACTCTTTCTCTCTCTACAACCGACATTGCCATTTTCTTCATCTTTGAATCGATCTCGTGTTATCGTTTAATCTCCGATTGTAGTTCCGACGATGGGACAACAATCGTTGATCTACAGCTTCGTCGCTCGTGGCACCGTTATCATCGCCGAATACACTGAGTTCACCGGTAACTTCACCGGCGTGGCGGCGCAGTGTCTCCAGAAGCTTCCTTCGTCTAACAATAAGTTCACTTACAACTGCGATGGACATACGTTTAACTACCTCGTGGATAATGGACTCAGTAACTCTTTGAACTCTTCGTTTCGTTGATCTGTGTTCGTTTTGTGATTTTCATGTTTCTATTTTTTTGATTTGAATGTATGTTAGGTTTTTTTACTCCTTGATCTGTGAATAGTAGAATGTTGAGAAAAAGGTTAATGGAAATGGAGTTTTAAATTCTGATTGCGTTGCTTGATTTGATTTTGTTATGTTAATTCCCGAGATCAATTGTATTTGATTCTCATTGTCGAAATTTTCGAATGGATACATTGTTGATCTAATATGCTTATCACCTTAAGACACAACACAGATATTAATTTAAAATAATAGAGGCCAAGATGATTGAAAATAACTACATGTCATGGTTGAGCTTCATATACGTCTTCAATCCGAAATGCGCGTTACATAAGTTGTATTTGGTGTAGCTCAAGGTTTTAAATAACGGCCGCAGTTGCATAAAGGTTTTTGTGATTTCAGTCGGTACAGGTGTTGCGACGCTGATTGCGGTGCGGTGGTCACGGTGTAAATTAACAGTTCTTTATTACAAATGGTGAATAACGGTATCGGTATTTTGATACTGTTTTGTCGCTTATTTTTGTGATAACAGACTGTTTTTCAAAACCTTGTGTAGTTGTTTGATTACTTGTTAACTTAAAGAGAAACATTTAAAATTTTGTTGATAGATGAAAGATTAAGGAGGTAGTTTCTTTTTATTGCTATTTAGAATGAAAGCTGAGGGAGAAAGAAACCATTTGGTTGTTCAGAAATTTTACAATACTAAATGTAAATGGTAAATTAAGTCTGGTTTTATTGTTAAAAACTTGATTGTTTCTAGAGTTTTGTTTTCTCTTGGTGATGTTTTTCCTTTTTATATTGAAATTTAAATAATTACGAGTTTGGAACTGACTTTAAGTCTGTTGAATGTTGTAGCTTACTGTGTTGTTGCTGTTGAGTCTGCTGGACGGCAGATTCCAATTGCTTTTCTTGAACGCATCAAGGAGGAATTTACCAAGAAATATGCTGGAAAAGCTGAAAATGCAGCTGCTAAGAGTCTGAATAGAGAGTTTGGGTATTCATATCCTGCAATTTGTTACTGCTAATTTATTATAATGACATCCATTTATTGTGAAATATTTGTTGTTCATGGTGTAGGCCTAAGTTAAAGGAACAGATGCAGTACTGTGTTGATCACCCAGAGGAGATTAACAAGCTTTCTAAAGTGAAAGCTCAGGTTTCAGAAGTTAAAGGAGTTATGATGGAGAATATTGAAAAGGTCAAACACTTAAATCCTTATAATTTTCCCTCCTCTGTTTTCAGGAGAATGTGGAAATGCATTTTGTTTGTCTTTTTGCTGTGCGTGGGATATGAAAATGTTTCCAGAAGCTAAACTTTCTCATCATTATACTTGTTGTTTCATTATTTTTTTATCAAGTGGTCATATTTAAAGTAGTTTAATCTGTTGAGTTTGACATATGGAATTTTTTAACAATTATCTATTTTGGCAGGTTCTGGACCGTGGGGAGAAAATTGAGCTTTTAGTTGACAAGACAGAGAACCTTCACTCTCAGGTCTGTTGGTTGCTATAGTTTTACTTTGTATATTAATAAACTATTAAGTAGAAATATTATAAAAGTGCAATATAATACTCCCTCCGTTTCAAAATTACTGTCGTTTTAAGGTTTTTGCACACAAATTAAGAAATGTAATGATGTTGTCATAAAATATTACACTTTTACAAAATTAACCCTATTAATGTATTGGAAATAGTGTAGAAAGTAAAAAGTAAAGGGCACAATTGGAAAAATAATAATCATTATTGCATTGAAAAATGAAAATGACAGTCAATTTGAAGCAAAATTTATTTGCTAAAACGACCCCTGCTGCTTTCCTTACATGTCAATGTTTTAGTGTTTTTAGCTGATATTCAATCTATATGATAATATCAATCTATATGATAAGTAATCTTCAATCATAATAGATGGTTTTGGATAGATGCTATGATGACCCAACATGTATAGTTAAAAGGCAACAAGATTTTCATTAGCAATCATTATATCTAACAATGAATGTCTTAGCTACATAGAATACTGTAATAGGTATGCACTGTCACTTTTTAATTTTACCTGATCACAATAAGGTAAATCCGATATGTGGTACACAATATTGTTGAGTACTATTAACATTGGTAAAAATAAATTAGCCGAAGTTCCCTTCGTCATGCATATGCTTGTATATACAAATGATCAGTAAGGCAAGCCTGTCTTGTCTATATCTGATAGTTTCAGTATCGTGGAATCATTAAATTTTGCAAGACTGTGTAAGATCTAGTATATTTCAGACATGGTATTGTTTTTTTTTTCACCTTCAAACAATGAATTTGGCTCACATTGTGCTTGCAGTGATCTGTTGTAATAGAGAGTGCACATACGTCTTGAAAGCTTGTTGTCTCAGCTTAATTTTACTCTCTCTTGTGTAAACAAAAACAAAATTGTTCGGTAGTTTTTTCTTTGACTTATACGATTCACTTATGATTTTGCAGGCGCAAGATTTTAGGCAACAGGGAACCAAGATAAGGAGAAAGATGTGGTTCCAAAATATGAAGATAAAGCTAATAGTTCTTGGTATCATAATTGCCATAATTCTCATTATTGTTCTTTCAGTCTGTGGTGGCTTCAACTGTTCTAAATGACTCTTTCCATTGTGGCTTCAACTGTGTCAAAGTGTCTCCTCACCCGATAAGGTTTTTGCTAGCTGATTATCATTGCCTCTACTATCCTCGCATTGCTTTTGGCTTTTGGGATTTACATTCTTCCTACATCTATTATAGTCATCAGTATTATATGACATCGCTTGTATAGTGTGCAATGCTTTATTAGTTTTCACTTCACCATTTGTCTCCCATAGTGTAGTGCTAATGTGTTCTTCTCTATATAGTTTAGGTGGGAGTTTGTTTCAGCATTTTGTGAGGATAATGATGTTTTCTCTATTAGAAACCAGCCATTTCTTAGTTAAGTTTCATATTGCCTATTTTTCTTTACACGTCTTTTAGAAACCAGCCATTTCTTAATTAAGTTTCATATTGCCTATTTTTCTTTACACGTCTTTTAGAAACCAGCCATTTCTTAGTTAAGTTTCATATTCTCTATTATGTGTGTTTACACTGCATTTTGATTTGTGATTTTCTTAAAGCGGACAGTTTGAGTTTTAATTTTTGTTACTGAAAAAGTTGGACTGCACCGTTTTGACATTTGAATTGGAAATTAATTAGACAAATATTATTAATGGATACACTCAGACAAATGGGCATGCGATAACTGACATAAATGTGGTTACAATCACTAGAGAATGGAAGGCTCTAGTATAATAACCAGCTAAGATCATAAAAATAAGATGATATTATTTTTTGGTTACAAGTAATTGATTGTGTTGTCAATAAATATATTAAGAAATTTGTAGAGCGTCTAATATTAAAGTACAAACAATTTTTTAAAAGAGTTTTATGTTAAGGGGGTGGAGGGAGTATATTTTATTGCCCTCGTTTAACTTGTCAAGTTTAAAAGCAAACAATTTTTTATCTACGAGAACAAAAAGTTTCAAGATCACTAGAATGTGGGTTTGACACTAATAGAGTATTCAAATAAGAATTTATACATTTATATTTATATTTACATATTTAAAATTAATTTTTATAAAAACATTTTTAAAATATTTTTTATAATTGAACATAAATAGATACCATTGAAGATTAAAACATAGTTCAAATTACAATTTAAAAAAAAAAGTTTAGTGAAAAATCATATGAATTTGTTTCATATAAAATTTTGAAGATTAAAAGTTATTTTTAAAAATTTTCATATAAAAATATAGTAAAAAATGAAATATTTAAAATAATATTTTAATTTTAAAAAATAACTACTTAACTTTTTTTTTTTACAAAAATATATATAATACTGTACCGCGTATTCTTGTAATCTTTCGGACAAATTTTGGAATCTTTTAATACTTCATAAACTTTCGATCAAAACGCGCGAGAACTGCTATTCTCGTACTATTCAATTGAAAGATAATTAAATAGGGTTCGCTGTCATACCTCAAATTCACTCTACCATTATATATACTATTCTGGACTAGGCCTGCCCGTGACCCAATCACCGGTAAGGCCCAATCCAAGCGTGTCAACATATCATGCTGAATAGTAGATCTTCCGAGCACACCCCGATCATGGGTAACTGATCGGCTGCGAGTACGTCCCGTCGATGCCCGCGAGGAACGTCTCCGACGAGGGACGTCCCCGACGAGAAACATCCCAATCCAAGCTCTGCCCGAGTACCCTCCTTGTAGGGCATACTTTCAACCTCTCCGGATTTTGCAAAGTCCTCAGGATTCCGGAAAGATCGCGTCTCTACCCTCCTCATTTTGCGGAGAGCATCATCCAGGTAGGTGAACACATGTAGGTTCCCACTACTCACGTAGAACCTGGCAGTCCCTTTGTTGGGCCTGTTTGATCAGCCCAATAAAGGGACCTTGGCCCAGCTCCGGGAGCTATAAATACCCTCTATTTCGAGAGGGTCGAGTATTCATTCATTCACACCTAGATACTTACTTGCTTGCTCATTCCGTCTCTCACTTTGTCATCGGAGTGTCTTGCAGGTACCCCTACCTCTGTAGGCACGTCCTCTTCCTCTATAATTCGTGAAGTTTCCATGAACTTCATGTGCTCCATTACATGCATGAGCAACATTTGCAGAAACCTGTGCCACATCAAGTTGTTACTGAAATTTATCAAGTTGAGCTTCTTATACATATAAGAGAGCTTCTACATCACACAACGAAAGAGGCTCAGTTCTCCCATACGCATGCATTACAAAAGGATTATATTCTTATGGTAATCCATTAAGGATTGATTCAATTTGACCCTGCTCCAAAATCGAGTCTCCTACAACAAGAAGAGAACTCGAAATAGATTTGATCCTGGGCATAAATTCAGTGATTGACCGACTACCTTTCTTGGTGAACTTCAATTCCACTCTCAGCTGACGAAAGCTAGATCGCATTTGAGCATTGAAAATTTTGTGGATTTTATCCCAAACTTCATTAGAATGTTTGCAAGAAAGCACTCTCGTAAGACCCGACTCAGATATGGTTGATAGAAGCAATATGAACAATGCTTGATCTTGGACAATCCATGACTCGTATTCTTTGGAGACATTATTTTTTAAATGATCTTGATTTGTCTTGAACTTCATAGGAATTTGAGGATTCACCAAGAACATGTGCATCTTCTGAGTGAGGATAACTCCTTCGACTTGTTGATTCCATAGAAGATAGTTGTTATCTTTGAGTTGGATCAAGAGTTTCGAACCATAGTGTCGCACATAGCAAAATGTAGCGATAAATATTTGAGACTAAGACATTAATTGATTTAACTCGTATCAGTGAAAGTCGTCACCGCACTTTATTGTTTCCAAAGGGAAATGGAAAAATAGCGAATAAAACTAAAAAAAGATAGAGATCAAGGTACAAGGGTTGGTTATGTAAAGGGGAGGTATTAGCATCCTAAGTATCTATGGTACTCCGTAGAATCCACTTTGTTGTTATAATCGAATATTGTGTTATCTAAAGCTTAATCTTGATAAAGGGAATGCATGAATATTTACAAATAAAAGAAATGTTTTTTTATTATTGCACTGCCGCGATTGCGAACCTTGTGCCTACGTACCCCCTTCATGCAATAGATGATCAGAGCACTCGTAGTTTTTCTAAAAAAAGAACAAAAACTGTGTGTTGGTTGATTTTAAATGAAGATACAAGTCGTCATTTTTAGGAGAGAAATCTCAACTAATCGCCCACAAGGTATATGAAAGAGGAATAATGCATCAACATGAATGAGGGTTTGAGAACACCTCTAGTACTCAAGTGGAAAAGTCGGCATCCTTACAACCATGGGGATAAGAGAATGACATATCGACTATAAATGACTCATGTCTAATCTTGAAAAAGGTTTTAAAATAGAAAAAGGTGCATGAGGGCACAAAAATGTTTGAATAAGTTGAAGTATTTTGTTGGCCTGAAAAAGGATTTGCGAATTGAATCGTAATAAAGTTCGAAAATGAAAGAAAGAGCAAGATTCTAGAATGTATCGCCACACTAGTCCCCATAAGACTCAACTGCATACGATTCACATCTTTATTTGTTAAGTGTTTAGAGTTTTGATTAAGAAAAAAGAAGACGTTTGAAAAAGTCACTTGACGAGGTCAAGGTTTATTATGAAAACGATTCAAGTTAGAAAAACAAGAAGGTTTTGAAAAAAAAGGATAAGGTTTTGAAAATTGAAGAATGGGATGAGATGAAGAGAATATTCTATGTACAAGAAAGCAAGAGATAGGGTAAGGAAGGTCTTACCAAATGAGAATCCGACACTTGACAGGATAAAGTCAACATAGAATTCTCATCCTTTAGATTAAAGCCACAAGTAGAGAATAAACCAAGAGTATACCAAACATCAGGTGAGAATAAATCACAAGCAGGAGGTATCAGATAAGCGCGATGTGTCATGTAAAGCTCAAAGCATCGGATAAGAACTCAAAATATCAAATAAGAATCTCTACATTAGATGAAACTCCCAACAAACAGACAAGGTCATGATAACAGAGGTATAACCCAAATATCTCATGTGAAATGAGAAGTCTAAATCAAGTGGTCAAAGCCAACTATCTCAGTCAAATATAAGGTTACAACTAACAAGTGAATCATGAAGATGTCATCGATCTAAACAACATTTAATTCTAAAAGAAAATCCTTTTTTATTCATTTTTTATATTATTTGGTTCTTCCCTAAATAAATACTAAACAACTTAATAAAACTAAAATAAATTAATTTAAATATAAGTTAAATTAATTAATTTAAATATAAAAATAAATAAAATCTAAAGTGGGGTGTAAAATAAACATATGGTGGCAATTAGAAACAAAAGAGGAGGCCCAAAACAAGCCCACGTAGCAATCTATAGTCTCTATTTACTTTCCTTTTTTTCTTTTAATAAAAGAACTATATATATGAAAATAATAAAAATAATAATAATAATAATAATAATAATAATAATAATAATAATAATAATAAAAATAATAATAATAATAATTATAATAATAATAATAATAATAATAATAATAATAATAATAATAATAATAATAAATTAAATTTATTAAAAAAAAAAGAAATTGATGAATACGTTGTTGTGAGGTGGGTTTTACGGAATGTTGGATGGTATTGGTAGGGTGACTCACGGTGGTTGGTTGATAAAAGAGAAAGGATTTCTCTATATTTTGTGTCTTGAATCCGCCCCCTTCACAAATCTTACTCTACTTATTTTATAATACAAATTAAGTTTTCTATAATTTTCTTACTGTTCAAAATGACCCTTTTGATAAAATTAAACTAAAAATTTAAAAGTATAAAAATTAACATAATTTAAAATATTTTAATTTTAATTTTTTTGAATAAAAAATAAAATTAAAATGATCAAAAACGATAAAAACGAATACTTAAATAATTGAAAAAATAAATGAACACATTAAGATAAACTACAGTCATAAAGATTAATGAAAAAAATTCTCAAATGATCAAAATCAAACTAAAATGAGAATAAAAATACTCAGCTATATAGACGCTGACGCTGACAATTAAGAACAAGACGATAAACTGTATCAAAAAAATAAAGTGAACATACTAACATGATCTACACAAAACACAGATTCATAAAACAGTCTGTTAAAGGTAAAAACTTGAAATATTTTTTCCTTAATTTTTCACGCAGTGTCGAATCACTTTTAACGATTTGTCTGTAGAACCAAAATATCATTATTATCGACATATAAACAATTTGGAGCAATACAAGAAGCGGGTAAAGAGATAAAAATGCATGAGGTGAAATAACAAATATTTCTTAATTATAAAACGATGCAAATGTTGATTTAAATTAATTTTTGATCAACTTAAATACGGTTAATGATGCAGAATGTAATGAATGAAGATATTTATTGATGATTGTGACCAAATAATAAGATATGATATGATAATACGACTAAAAATTTTTGAGACGAAATTTAGGATGCAACACATAGATATTGTTGGAATTTGGTGTGAATAAGCCAAAGGTGGTGTTGCGTGAAAGTTCTTGATTCTCCGTGCACGAGTTTTGATTTACAAAATTCGCCATGGATGAAGGATGACGCACTAAGAGAAAACGAGAGTTAACTGAGAGTTTCACTAAGGAAGATGAAGCAGAACCGTGGTTCAGCTTTGAACCACTTCTGATACCATATTGAAAATATAGAATTGCATAGAGAGATTGAAATTGTTAACCTTCTGCATTTTGCTATTCATCTTATCTTATCACAATGATAAACCAAACTATATATATACAGCTTGTACCAGAGTGAGTTTGTTAGCACACCTGTGACTAAAAAATTTAACAAACTCTTAACAGAAAACTCAGCCTATTAAACTACACACACTAAGCTACCATATACTATACAACAACATAGGATAAATGCTACATATCTCTTACAAAGAAAATTCTATAAACAAATGTACTTTTTAAATTTTATATGTACAATTGCAATTTGGATTGCCTGGCAAAGATGTTATTTGGATTGGAATAGTAGTATGTTTACTTGTCCATAAGTCATAGTTTGGAATTCGGATAATGTAATTTGTACTCCAAAATGCCCAGAGAAGAAATTTCCTCGTCCAATGTAAACATTTATTATATTTAAAATTTGATTTGTTATTCGAAGTTAAATGCATCTCATGTATATATTGTAGAAAAATATCCCTTATGTTTTGTACCTATGAACTGCTAGAACTACTAACCAATAGCTATGTGCTCCATGAATACATGATGACAAAGAAGGTTAGATTAAGTTATAAGTTGATTTCCATGTTGTCAATAAGCCTCACCTTCCCAAAAAATGCAGCAACACAGAACACAACAGGACTTTTGATCAACTCCACTTTCTCTAAACTCTGTTGATCAACAATCTGCACGAAAATGTATCAAGTTAGCATGTAGCATTGAAATATACCGTTCTTTATTCATAATTTTTCCTTTCCCTATTGATTTGCGATCATATAAACTCTGCTAGGTTCGGGAAGGCATATATCATCAAAATGACATTCACCGAATTCAGCGCTCTTAGGTTGAAAATAAATTATGGAGGCAAAATAGTTAGGAGGATGGTAAAGTTATGCGCTCTTAAGAGGAAATTTAAGAGAAGATATGATCATACTTCAAAGATATTATTAACATCTGACCTCAGCATAATCGATTCTTCCACCAGCGTCAGCAATACATTGGATGACTAAGTTCCTCAATTTCTCACATTGCACCTGACCATCTTCTGCGGCTGACTTGGCTCTTGTTAATGATTTGTTAATAGATAGCGCCTGCAAAAGGATTTAAAAGTGTTACCTAGTTGTAGATAGAAGGCAAATAATACAAACAATGGATTAAGGCTTAGTAAAGCTGAAAATAAACCTTTTCCCTCTCTTCACATGAGAGATGTACATTGCGCGAACTCATTGCTAGGCCATCGTTTTCCCTTGTTATTTCACAACCTATAACTTTTATGGAAAAATCAAGATCGCGAACCTGCAAAAAAGAATCAGTCAGTCTATTAAAACCAACATCCCTCTATATTTACTATTTTCCCTCTAATTTCCTAGTTCTAGAATCCTCTCTCCCTCTCCCAATTTGTCTCCTGTCGATTCTATTATTCGTTTCATTCTTAGGCCCGTTTTCATTTTCCAGCCCAACAGAGAAGCTTAAGGTACAGTGCATGACGGAGATGTTGTTTTTCAGTGATAACAGAATCAGAATAATTGGAGATAATAGTGGTATGTTCAAATTCTGCTATGCTATGGCAGTATAGTGCCGTTATAGCGGCTATTTAACAACATTGGGCTAAAGAAAATTACAGCATAAACTTTCACCATCTAACAATTACCGACCTCACTTTCAGAAGCTTGGTGCTTAAGGGTATAACCAGCTGAAGTTTAAGAATGAGAATAAGACACAATGACATGACTTAGGTACTCACTTTGATGTTTTAAGTTGTTTTATATATAAGTTGTAAGTTGTTTTAATAAGCTATCTTGAAAACCATACTGAAATAAGTTGAAAGCAGTTTATAAACATGTGATAGGAGTTTCTTTTCTTCAGTACTCGCAGACACTTACACATCTACTAATATGTCAGAATGTTAGAATAGCAAATCCCGCTCTTAAAGTAAACAGGTAAATAAACACACACACAAGAAAACATTGATCACGGAATTCGGTCAATTATGCCTACGTCTCCAACAACATAGTGGCTTTGTAGTTTTCTATTGTTCAATGCTTAGGGTTACTTAGTACAAGTTTTGTTTAATAGTACAATCCATATTACATTTTAACCCCTGAACCGTACCCAACCTACGAAAGGGCTGTACCACAAGGGTTTCACTCACCACGGTCGAGAGTCTACGACTTATCAATGAATATGAGTCATTCAACACAGGCGATAAACCTAAATAAGTGAGAAATAATCTCTTCTAAGTGCATCCTAAATTAAGTACATTTTAATAGTTCTATCTATGTTTGAATATCTTAAAATGAACAAGGAAACTTCTTCATTTCGCCTAAATGGGAGGACAAGAAATACGGTGGTAAGTAATGAAATTGATACCACTTCATTCTGCTCTGCCCCCATTCGACTTTAACTAATTCAAATAATGAAATTTGATTTTATTTCAACCGATACCACTCTATTCCATCTCATTCGAATCGGTACAAACACATTTCATCAATCCAAACACAAACAAAAAAGTATGAAAAACAATTACCATTCTCTGAATAACTCTCCACTGCTGATAATCCTTCTTCCCAAACACAGCAACATCAGGCTCAACAATATTAAACAACTTAGCAACAACCGTAGCAACACCTCTAAAGAAAACAGGCCTACTCCTCCCACAAAGACCCTTCTCAAGTTTCTCAACTCTAATCCAACTCTCGTGTCCCAAACCACTCTTCTCAACACAAGACACCACCCCATCACCACCACCACCACCCTCACCACCCTTACTCTCCCCATAATCATACAAATCCTTAGGATTAAAAACAACATCAACACCACCAGGAACAGACAAAAGCTTCTGAACATCACCTTCAAAATCAGAAGGGTAAGTGGAAAGATCTTCATTAGGCGAAAACTGACCCGGGTTGACGTAGATTGATACTGCAACGACATTGGCGTGTTTGTGAGCTTCTGTGATGAGAGAAAGATGGCCTTGGTGAAGGTAACCCATGGTGGGAACGAAAGCAATGAGCTTGGATTGGGATCGCATTGATCTTGACCAGTTTCGCATCTGGGTTTTGTCTTTGATTATTAGAGGTTGTTTTTGTGCCATTGGAATCAAAAGGGTTTGATGGGTTGTGTTGTTGGGAATCGAAAATGGGTAAAAATTTGTTTTTTTTTTCTTTCTCTTTTTGGTTTGTTTGGTACAACGTTGGTGCTGGTCAGAAGAACTCAAAAGGAATAATTGGAGATCTGGGTGAAAGTACGAATGTTCTGTTTGATAGTTGAATGTATCCAATTTATAGGTTGATTTTTAAAAATATATATCTATAAAAGAAAAGTCATTCTACTCAAAAAAAAAAACTCATTTTGTTCTTTTGTTTCAAAAATACAACACATGATTTCATTAGAAAATAGAAAATAGTTTATTTCAAATCTTAATTTTTCTTTACATTTTGTTCCATTGAGTGATCACTAACGGCAGTCACGAAGTCACGCATTCTTGTCTTCTCTCTCTTTCCACTTCTCACCGTTCCAAAAGCTTTGTTTTGTTTTCTCAAAAACTCACTCCCAATTGTCCAATACATAGGCGCTCATAGCTTGAACTTCGAAGGTGTAGTTGATCGGAGAGAGGTCGAAGACGGTGTAGATTTGTCCGGGGAAAATCCATGCTTTCTTTGCAAGTTTGATGTCTTTGATTCTGACTTCGGTGATCACAAGGTACTATGATGCTTTTGCAACCTTATACATATTGTTGAATTTGATTTGATTTTTGAAAACCTAGATCTGTGTTGTTCGGTTTCTTTGTGGTAGATATGTGGTTGCAACAACATGTTAACCCTAACATCGTTCCCATTTCCCAACTAACCAAACACGATCAGCCTGACATGGCTTCCCGAAACCAAAACTGGTCATCGCGAATCCCCTTCATCGTAATCCTCTTCTCTCTTACTCTCATACTTTTTGTATTTTCTAGATTTTTCTTAACTTGCTTTCAATTCAACAACCGTAATGAGATTTTTGTCAAATTTGTTTTATTTTTAGATGTAGATAAAAGAGGTATTAGATGCTGAAGAAATTCGTATTGGTGGTGAAAAACTGATAGCAGAGTAAAGCTAGGGTTCCTCTGGGTGTCATAAATAACAATGTTAGTACGGTGTTGTCGGGGGTTCTGAATGCGACATTGTTGATTTCACGAAAGAGGAAGTATATGCTTTGTTGGATGAGTGGATGAAAAAGGGGATTCCCTGTAACACTAAGGTCTGTGTGATTTCAGTTTATTAATCACTTAGATTTGTTGTTTTGGGTTTGAATTTGACTTTTTGTTATTTTATGTTCTTCATTTGATTGTGCTGGACTATTTTCAGAAAACTGAAACAGTCTCTGGTGTTATAGAATTTTGTTGTTGAACTTGTACTAATGTCACTGTAGAGTATGTCGAGAAAATAGGTTGTATCAGATTCCAGAGTTTCCTCAAATTTCAGAGAAGAAAATCTTATGCATTGGTGCCAATAATAAACAGCATGTTCTGAAATGGGAGAATAACATGGCATGGCCTGGAAAACTCACTCTTACTGATAAAGCAATATATTTTGAGGTATGGTTCCTTGAAATTCTTATATACTTTATCTCATAGTATAATTCCATGAAGGTTTATGTATGCTAAACACACTATTGCTAGTACTACTCTATAATTCAATTATCACATCGTTTTAATGATGTTTTTTAATATGTGTTCTAGGCAATTGGCTTATTGGGAAATAAGAAAGTCATTAGATTGGATCTTACATATGATGAATTGAAGGGAGAGAAAGCAAAAGTTGGGCCCTTATGATCTTCACTTTTTGACTCGTTGTTTCTATTTCTTCCACCTCAGAGTGAGTAAGCTACTTCAAGCATTCATTATCAATTTTATTTTTACTGGCTAATATTCTTTTAACTCATAATATTAATAATTATGCATGAATAACATAAGTCATCAGTAAATGTGCACATTTAGAACCCACAATATTTGTTCTTCACTTTTCTTTGCTGCTCTTTGTTGCATTTTATCATCATCATCTTGAAATAATTAATTTTTATTTATACTTATATTCATACTTAGGCCGAATTGGTGGGTGTTGGAATTAATTGACTTGAGAGGTGAGATGAGGAAGGATATTTGGAATGCATTGATTAGCAAAGTCATTGCTTTACACAAGTTCATTCATGAGCATGGACCCGAAGATTCTGACGAGTCATTGTTTAATGTTTACGGAGCTTGCATAGGAAAGCAAAGAGCAACAACCAGTGCCATTAATGGTATGGCTAGACTCCAGGCCCTTCAACATTTGCAAAATTTCCCCGATGATCCTGTCCAGCTCGTGCAGTTCTCATATTTACAAAATGCACCGCATGTTGATATTGTTCTCCAAACTTTAATTGTTAATTATTGGTGTATTGCTTCATTTTGGTTGAAATTTCCATTTTCATTTTCTAATAACATGTTTAATCTAAATTCCCACAGACTATGGAAAAATCATAAATGGATTTGACAGAGAATTTAGAAATTTAGCAGGGTCAACAATACATGAAGACAATGCATTATGGTCTTTGGAATATGATTCTGATGGAAATGTTAAAACTCATATCGTCAAGTGTCCTTTTGTTCAGGTACTGTTCAGAGAATAAGTTTTCCATGTATGTGATTAAGTTCTATCATCCAAGATTCATTGCGATAATTATTGGTAAACATATTGTTTTTCCTATAAACCTTTTGTGATACGGTGGCAAAACCGACTGTTATACTGGTTTTGTGTTTGTGTTCGCAAATATTGAGGTAAGTAAGAGTTGTCACTGACTTTTCTTTTATCCAAATTAAGAAAAGGGTGAAAAGAACAGAAAAAGACCTTTTTGAGAATTTTCTGAGTAGGGGGTAGATTATGGAAAAGGAAGGTGTTAGCACCCTTTCTATCCGTAGTTATCTACGGGCTCTTAGATGCTTAGCTCATTTTAAAAGTACCTTGTGCTTTGTGTGTCTTGAAAAATGTTTTGAAATGCCTTAGTGTGGCGATTTGCTTTGCGTTAACTCTTGTATCAGTCCTCAAGAGTGTTGACAAAGCAAATGCTTTTGAAAATTGTTTTTGAAATGTGTAAGTGTAAAAAGAGTTTGTTTTGAGCAAGCATTTAACAACTATCTACTTGTACTCAAAAAGGTTCATTTTTTCCCTCTTTTACTTTAGACAGCGCTATCCTACTATTAGTGAGTAGGTAGCCCTATCGTTGGATGTATGAGGGACATTCGAAGGGACGTACAGTCATAAAGGCAATATGTGGAGACGCTTTAGAAATTTTGTTTAGGGGCTAGATCATTTACCGAGAGGCAACTGTAGGATCATCGAGGGACTATGATCTTTTTGATTTACGGGTCTTTGCTAAAGCATCCCCGTTTCGAGAGACATGACTGTTTTATTTCCGAAGGCAACCAAAGTGGGGTATCCTAGAGGTGCATGTGTGAAAATGATTCAATTTAGTTTATTTGTCTTTGTTATTACGTTTGCTAGCATTTTGTTATTAGTCTTTCCATACCAGCCTAATTACTAACATTTAATATTTTGCAGAAATTTAAAGTGCGGGAATTTAAATCCTACGCTATTACAATGCTTCGGGGAGGGGGTATCTACATATCCAAATGAGAGAAAAATAAAGAAAGCGATAAAGTCCTAGTTTAATATATTACATATTGTCAGCAGGTACATTATTATAAAACATGCGAGAATAAAATAAATGCACGCGAAATAGAGAAACGTCTAAGAAATCCTAAGAATTTGGCTAAGTAAAATAATATCTTTTTTTGGTTTTATTTATTTAAAAAAAAAACTTAAATTAAATTAAATGAGAAAGAAAACTAAATATAATCCTAATTAATTAGATAAGAGAAAAATAATTGTTAATTAATAAAACTAATTCTACTATTTTTTGTGTTTTTTATTAAGAAAATATTTGAATGAAATAAATCTAAGTCTAATTGATTTTAAACTAATAAAATAATATCCAAATAATTAATTAAATTAATTTACAGAATAAAAATTAATTTAAGAAAACCTAAGTCTATTATTTTATTTTTTTTATGATTTGTTAAAAAAAATGATTAAAAGAAATAAATAAGAAAACAAATAAAAATAAAGAAAAAGCAAATTGGGCTTGGAGATAATTAGTAAACAGGGAGGGTGTATCTTGAAACTTCATTTGGCCCAAACCAATCCAGCCCAGCAATTGCGCTGGATCCTCTATGGTGAACTTCAGAAAGTGCATCGTGGGTTGCATGTTGAGGCGCCTTGGATCAGATCTGTACAGATCTAATGGTGGGAATTGAAGGGTGTATGATAGGCATGTTGAGGAGTATTGTGCTGGATCTGCAAGAGTTTTGTTAGAAAAATCAAAATCCTGACCTGAGTATCGAACTCAGGTCTCTCCCTTTCACATTCATTCCCTTCACCAACTGAGTCATCTTGTCAATTGTTAATACAAATAAAACCAAAATATTATATATGAAAATGGGTCAGAATACTTAGAATTAAAACGTGTGCGTTATGAAATTTAAAAGAACCAATTAAGTAACATAAAACTGCCACGCCTGCTCCCAAACGGAGTCAACGAATCAACAGCGCTGGAGGAGACCTCCGGTCATCTTCTTCGGGCATACAAAAAGGAGATTCATGATTTTAAAGGCTTTAAACCCATAATCAAAGGCCTATCCCACATAAAATCGCCTTTTGAACTCAAATTCATCCTTAGTTTTAACAGGATTATTCAGTTTACATCAAGATCCAGATTATGCCCTAAACATGGCAAATCCATGTTTGAGTCCCTATCCTTTCATGTAATACGTTAGAAGCAAGCAAAATGATGATATAAATATGAAAATATGAATTAGAATCATTTATATTGCATGTATTGAAAGATTCAGATCATGGAAATTTTACCAAGGTGGAGATTCGGTTGGTGTTTACCGTGAAAATTGGTAAACAACCGCTGATATTCCAAAAGGTTACTTATTTGGTGACTAGCAGGATCGATCAGATTGATCCTAAGACATGGTTGATTTTTTTGGAGTTTGACTAACCCTAATGG